TGTGATTAACAGGAGACTGAGTCCAAGGCCAAGCCAGAGGCAGGTTTGGCCTCACAAATAATTTCCTTTGCCATCTAGCCCGGAYGGAGCTGCTGCTGCTATTGAGTCACATGTAACTCTTTGCATAGAGAGCCATCGTTTATTTAGAATGGGGAAAGTTAAAAGCTGTGGGTCCTGGGCCTGTTCTGCTTGGTTGAAGCCTATGCCCAACTCCTTACACCAATGACAACTGTGTAGGTCTAGAGAAAATTGGCAAAAAATGGCAAAATCTATCTCCTARTTGAGGCCTGGAGGAGGCATAATGGGATTTTGTCCATGCAAAGCAGTGTAAAACAGAGACATAAATGTACCCATTCATTCATGTGAATTTGCCATTTAACATCTGCTGAAGGTAACGGAAAGACTTYGGTGGGCATTCGATCCAAGAGCTGAGTCACTGGAGTTTCCAATGGTTTAGGTAAAAGCATTTTTCACCAAAAAGGGCTAATGAAATTTTTCCCCCATTTTTTTTCAGCTAAAGTAGTGCTGCTTTATATTTTTACTACTTTAAATTCTTATTAGAATCCTTATCTMTATCTGCTTCCATCATGGTTTAAAGAGCATTGTTCACGGACACCTTCTTATGAAGGTGTCCCTGAATTTGAACAGATTTAGAATAGGAAGTGTAGCACCAGCTGTTTTRGAAGGAGTTTGTATACTGGGCTGCAACTTACACAGAGAAATGTCCTTGAGGCAGGGAGCATATTTTATTTATTGCTTTATTTATTGTATATGTCAAGTAAATGGAATCCCAACTTATGAAGATGCAAAACACAGYGTGAGTATTTATCAGCACTGAATGKTTTTATGTGCTCCAAAATAACTTGGGGTTTCCCAGCTGACTGTGAGCAGCTTGCTGGTTTTGAAGATCTAGCACCTTTGGAACTGAAGGGACATGCTGAATTTTAAGCACTTGGAAAGAGAATTAATTGCTTGGACAGCACCACCTTTTTTTTTCTTCCTTTTTTTTTTTTTTTGTGTGTATGCTCATCAATGGCAAATGATGAAGCCTCTGGAGGATATTAACACAAGTAAACTAAACACAAGAGTGGGATTGTTTAAACAAGGTGAGACAAAAGCACTCATTCTACAAGCAAAAGAATTTGATAGCAATTTCTTATGTTTTCACCTCTATTGTTGCARATGTCTGCATTTAAACAAGAATTTTATCTTTCTCAGCCCTGGTTTCCCTCCTTCATTAGCCTGCATGGAGGTCAGAGACCCTCTTATCTCATGGGCTACTCCTGCAAGGACCTGGGAGCCCACTGGGYTCCCCTTGCAGCTTTCTATTGAGGTGGGGAAAGAACCTGTGCCTGCTCCCCCACCCCCTGAGAACAGGAGAGGATTTCCCTGGCTAATAGCTGCAAGGGCATGAAATCATCTGTGCCCATGCTTTTGCTTCCCCTTCCCCAGGTGTGCACTGCCCCTTCACACCTGCCCCTGGCTCTGGCAGCTGATCCTAAATGGATGTATGTTTCAGGCTTCTTCATTTGAAGTATTCTTTCCTGTTACCACATTTTATGGGAATCTTTCCAACCYACTGAAAAGACTGAGCAATATTGTTTTTTAAATATTCTAAACAAGATATAGATGCTACAAATATAGACACCAGCATCTCTGAATGAAAACATAGCCTGTTGAATAAATAATGCATGTTTAAAAATGCCTRAATAGGAACTTACAGGATAAACTGTAAGAGCTTCAAAGGAGCCATTGATCTATGGAGTACATAATATGCATGTTAAAAATTATTGGAACATTTATTTACATGACACGTGGCTCAGAAGAAGCCATTATGGTCCTTAAGCAAATTATACAYGTTGTGAAAATTGTCAGTGTGCTTCTTCTACGAGAAGCAAGTGTATCCTAACAGTTGATAAATGCATCATCTTTGGGGGAAAAAAAAACCAACAAAAAAGCAAGCAAACCCAAAGCTAAAAGAAGGTTAAAAGAGAAAAGGAAAAAAAAAAAGGGAAGAAAATAAAAAAACAACCCTCGTACCATGTCAAAGTGTGTTCCATGCCCATCAAAGGAAGAAAAGCCCATGCTGCCCAGCCCCACATCCTGCACAGTGCTGCCGTCACACTTCATGTGGGGAGGGGATGCTCCTGTTCTCTGTGTGCCAAAGTCCGGGGTGCCAGCTCTTCTCCCTACAGGCCAAGAAATTACAAACGGGGACTAATTCATTCCAGCCACTGCTGTGTCCTCTATTTTGAATTAAACTGCTGGAAGAGTGCTCTGCTTTCCCAGCTCGTGCCCCTGTGAGTGACATGGGGGACAGGCAGGGAACTGCAACCCACTGGCACCATTTGGGGAGTGGAGATACACTTTTTATGGCTATGCTTAAGTCCCCAATGGCCTCAGCACAGCCAAGCACTGATTGAAAATAGTCTCGCATCCCCCTCACACCTTCAAGAGGAACAAAACAGGGGGAAACATTGCCTTGCAGGGCTAAGTGTGCCCAGCAGCCAGGTCCAGTGCCTGGCCAAAGGCTTCAGCTGCGTGCCTGGGCACAGCACTCAGAAGGGTTTGCACTGCACCTTCCCCAATGGTCCATGGCTTTTCTCTGGCAGATGTTTTGCTAARGAAGAGGGATACCAACTTAGAAAATTCCCCCACATGCCCATGTTGCTGTGATCACACTGCAGTTTACACCATAGCCTGGTCCCTGTGATTTTTTTTTCAGGCTGTGAAGAGAAAAAAGGTTTTTGTGAGGGAGGCATGACCAGAATGGGGTGGTTCAAAGACTGGTTCTGGCCCACAAGACGCTGGCATCTGGCTGGCAACTGCCTGTAGCCAAGTTCCCGAGTGCTCTATAGCCCCAGGGCACCCAGTCCCCAGACCACCTCKGATGTGCTCCAAGGGCTTGTGGCGTGCTTGCCTGCTTTGGACACTYGGGAAAGCAGGCTCTGCTGATAGGCAGAGCACGCAAGTTTTCYCATACCCTGGAATGAGAGTAAAGGGTGGATTTTCTAACGTAAAAAAGCAAGCAGTTGTATGGGGGAATATATTTAGCCAGTGTTTTCAGATCACATGTTCTAGGACTGGAGAGCAGAATGTTTTCAATACTGTTTGGGAGGCACGCTATTCAGTATTGCAAACCTTACTATTGGAGAAACCAGCAAATTGTGTTGCATCTAAAACAATTGCCTGAATTACTTGTACCGCGGTTTCTTCTTTCCAGTTGCAAAGGTTTTACAGAACTGTGACTTCTACGGCTACAAAAGCCTTGAAAATACAAATAATAGTAAAGTGCTGCTCTGCATTTGCATAAACCTGTTTATCCTATACATGGTTTATTCATTAACTCTTGGAACAACCAGCAGGACAGCTATGGCATTCCTTATGACCACTTCGTTTGTGGCTGAAAATGCAACTGCTTAAAAGGAACACTGCGTGGTTTAGAAAGCGAAAATAAATACCGTTCCCATGTGAAACAGCAGGAAAAATGCCACGGGAGCTGGCATTTAGCTTTTACATGGAATGAACCTCTCCTGTCACTTGGAAATTTCATAGGGGAGCCTCAGCACCTGCAAGGATTGGGACATCCGTGCCGCAGCTCACCGAAAGAGCCGTGCATTACGCAGCATTAGCCGTGTCAATCGCTGTGCTCTGCAGGCAGCATCTCAGTGAGGGACAGAAAATACCTGTCTCCCTCATCTATTCCTCCTAGAGACCATTTTCTAGTCCTTTACAATTTCAGTGTCCCATGAAAAAAAGTTCCTTGCAGCCTCTACTTGCAATGTAGTTCCCAACCAGCTCCTTAGAAAYGCTTTCCTGGTAATCGCCCCATGCTTCCTTTCTTATCCAAAACTCACTTCACATAAGAAAGGTGATAAAACAGGAATGCATTTTGCCTGTTTCATCTCCTTGCTTCTATAAAGATGAGTACATGCTGCCACCGGTATAAGCGGAAAACTGGAAATTTGTTTGACAGCCGGTGACTTGCTCAAGGTCACAAAAGAGCCTCAGTAGCAGAGCTGGGAACAGAATTTGGTATCCTAATTCCTAATCTGGCAGCCTCACCACAACTCTCATCACGCAATCAAAAAGCTCCTTTTAAGGAATGCTTTTGTGACTAAGAGAAAATTCAAGGCATTAGGAGAAAGAGCCCTTTTAATTTGCCTTTGTTCAAACATTTATGCCTTTTGCTGTATGGAAAACATGATTTTAACAAGGTACRGGATTACAATATGATGAAAGACTCTAAAACCTTTGAAAAAAAAATTATGGCTGCATTTAAGACTGTACTGATTTCAGCCATTAGGAAGGAAGCGATTAGATATTCCTTTAGAGTTTATACATGGCATAAGGAATAAATAAAGACCAGCATCTATTGTGCTSTGGTACGAGTTTTTTTGAGTGTTATATGCTGGCTTTCACATTTCTGCTGAATACTACATATAAGTGAAAAAAAATTCACAGCTTTTTAATAAGACTTCATTTTCTAAAGRTCCTAACTTGTTGCACCGCAAGAGTTTTTCAAAAAGCAAACCCAAATCCTTAAACCGCWAAACTCAACAGGAGATTGCCCTGACCTGAAATAATCCGGGGTTTGGTAGTTCTTCCTTGAGCAGCTCGAAATTTACCAGCTCACCCAGGATACATCAGCTTCGATATTTAGAAACTCTACAGGATAGTTTTGTATTTCAGGACAGCACCTTTTGCTTCCTTCCCCTCCTGTGTAACAGAATAGTATAATTTGGCAACCGTGGATAGAAACAAATGAGTGTACTGAGAACCACTGTTACTGAAAAACTGTATACAAAATAAGCTGAGCTGTACAAACCGAAGCAAGCAGAAGACTACAAATATTAATAGGATAAACAAAAAAATGAATGAAAATTTAAACCAATCCTTTCGAAAAATGTTGCTTCTCTTTTTTTTTAACACAACGGAAAAATTCCCGAGGTTCAGTAAAAATCCTATCGATAGCATTGTTACTCTCACCAAAGCAGTTGGGAGATTCAGGATTAGAAGTCTGAAACTTAATTTTACAAGAACATGTATTTTGCTCATTAAATTACTAAAATRGCAACAGCAAAGCTGGGGGGATGCAGGGACCCACTCCCCATCCCCGAAGTCCTGGCTCAGCCTGTAAAAAGCCTGTGCGTTTAAAACCTTTACAGTGACAGGGAGGCCTTGTCTGCAGATGTGCTAGCCACTTTTTGATTTGGTCTTTACACAATTATTTTGATAAAGTGTTCATCTTGTTGACACTATCACTGTAGTCAATACCTAATGACCCCCATATTTAATTTCCCTATAAATATTTAACTTAATAGAAGTCCTCCCTTGGGTTATGGTACTTTTGATACTTGTATAATCTGAAACAAATCCTCTTTTTTAGTCAAACAGACCATGTTACACATACAGTTGGCTAGCTCTTTACAAAGCACCCAATTAAATCCTACTCAATTCTCCCACTCTGAAAATCCCATTTCACTAGTGYGCAGGCTACTGATCACACAAGATGAGTATCTTTCACTGAGCCTGGACACAAGTTTACAGCCAGCAGGACTTGACTGTACAAGAGCTTGCTGTAAAAATAACTCGCCCATCAAATGTTATGTACAAATAGTGAACAGAATGTGCAAATTCAGAGGATTGAAGAAATAAGCTGAAGAATCACAGTTAAAGACAAGTAAATCTAGTTTAATGTTCACATGTAGTAGTTACACATCACAGAGATTAAACAGGATTTTAACTGTAACATAGCTGCAGTGAAATGTAAGTCATTTTGTACTAGAAAAATAATCTTGACGCAGTTATCCGATTTTTGGTTTACTTAAGTTCATTTTAAGATGAATTTACATCACTGATCATAATGACTTTGCCCATGTGCCTTTCTGCAGTTTGCTATTAATACTCTTTGGACGAAGGAAACAACAACTGTTTTTGTTAATGGTTTGCCCTTTGGTTGCAAGCAGAGAACTGTGTTCAGTTTTTAAGCAATTAATAAGCAGTAGGAACACAAATTTGCCATAAAACCTTTTGGTGCTAAATGAAGTTCCTGAACAAATTTCTTGATCTAATTCAACAGCAGATTTTTAAATAAAAGACTGATCAGAGATMTAAAGCATTGCCCCCGTAATGCAAAAAAACTAGATAAGAATTTTTCTATTGTCAGTAAAAAACACTACATCTTACTGCTACTTTTACAGAACACACTAAAAATCCCTGTGCCTAAACGACAAAAGTGTAGTCTCGAAATGTATAATACACTTACAAACATTTTAAGTCTAGGTTGAGGAAGACACGTTGTATAGACTCCAAACAAGTTTATTTGCAATTAGACATCTCATGCAATCATGCAGGACCACTTAGCTGCAACTTTCGAGTCTAAAGGACATTTGGGGACAAAAGAAGTCCTAAACATTCAAGATATTTCCATATTAGCAGCTCCATACTTGAGCTGTGGTTTTCTAAAGAGATATTCCCACAGATTAAAAAAAACATACACACCTTTATAATATTTACAAAAAAATATTTAATTAAAAATATTTTATAATTACAGTAGTCTATTAAAGCATATACTTTTCTCACACTTATAGAACATCTCTATATATACACAGTATGAAATGTCACTCATTTGTCTATACAATATGTAACATTCCTGCAGGGAGAAGAAAGTTCCCTGGGCCCCAATAAAATCCATCTATTTTAAACAATAGATGCCAAATATATCTACAAATGCTCTGGTAGATTAGTAAAGCTTCAAGATTCGGCTGCTCGGTCCCCTAAGAGTTACAAGGTTTCTAAAGTCTGGTTTAGGCTCGGTCCTCTATCCCGGGGCAGAGTCGCAACTTTTCCCGCTGCCACCGTGGGACACGCCGCCGCTCACAGCTGGCCGGGAACGACGAGAAGAGACGGAACCATGGGAGGGGAAAGGAGTAAAGGACATGGGGAGCCGGGGAGGGGGGGACCGCTACGGACGTGCAAAATGGTGAAAAGGCTTGGCTCTGCCGGGGTGAAGCATGGGAACTGCTCGGGGGGTTGGATGGCTCCTTCCTCCGGTGTGGCGGGGCAGGGCCTGGCCCCCCCGCCGCCGCCCGTCCCCCGCGTTGCCTCTGCGCGGCGCGGCGCCGCCGCACACCTGTGGGAGAGGAATGAATAGAGGGGGTGTGTGAACCGCTCCGCTCCAGACCGACTGGCGCCACCAACAAAACACAAGACATGCTTGATCAACAACCCAAAACAAACCAGGTCAAACAACAACCGCAGCTCCCAGGCTGGGCCAGGCGGAGGGAGGGATGCGCAGCTGCACGCCGCAGCCAGAGGCGCTCCGGGGGGAGGGGGTGTTCGGGAAGGAGGGGGGGGAAGAACCCAACCACCCGGTAATTATAGAAAATAAAATAACTACCCCGTAATTAAAAATAAAACCCCAAAGCCTCCTGCAAGTATTGCTCACAGGGTCTGGTGAGAAAGGGCTTTGCCCTTTCGGCAGGCTTCCCGCAGGATGCGGTGCTGCCCCACCGAGCCCCGGCGCTGCGCCGCGGAGGGCTGCGCTCCCCCCGCCCGCGGCCCCTCGCCCGCCCGGCACTCACCTGGGGAGCGGCGGTCAGCGGCAGAGGATGCTGTCCCCCGGCTTGTTAACAGAACCTGCCTGCGCAGCAACCAATCACGGCAAATTAAMAACTGGGAGGAAAGGACGCGGAGACCCCCCACTCCCCAGATTCCCTCCTCCTCCGCGTACCCAGGCACTACCATAGCCCCGTCAGGAGCGCTCAGGGAAGCCCCCGGGGGGACAGAGCCAAGGGGGTCACCGCAGCGCTGCGGGAAGTCCYGGGGGCGCGGAGTGCCAGGACACGCCGCTTCCCGCGCCGCCGGGCTGCCACCGGGGGGGTCCCGTGCAAGGGACTCGCTCCCCGATTCCCGCCCCCCCAAAGCACGCTGCGTTCCATGTGCACAGCCCCCACAGCCCCTCACACTCGCAACACGGCGCGGAGGATGGGAAGCGCACGAACAGCGCGCCTGTTCCCGTGTGTGCAAACACGCCGGCTACAGCTAYTCCCTGGAGAGGCTGTAATTACACGTTACACACCGTGAGGCTGCCTGCCCGCACCGAGGGGATGCGGGCACCCACCGCGCACTACCGGGGCGTTTCTGCGCCCGTAAGCCCCTACCCCTTCGGGAGCTACGGCTTCTGGACAGAGCCACGGGGTCGCGAGTGGCGACCCATCACCAGGGCGCTCCCACGGCGACCGGCGCTGCSCGCCGCGCCACGCCGCTCTGCCCGCACCCCGCTTCCCGCTCTCGTGTGTCACGCACCTCTTACCGGGTCAGTGTTAAGGGCTGTCAGCGGGGTCCTGGGGGTGCCCGCGGGACAGGTGCCTGGGTGCAGAGCGGGCGGCGGTGGCTGCTGCCGGAGCAGCGCTGGGTGCGTCTCCAGTGCCAGCTGCAGGTCGAGGATATAGTCGATGACGTGCTGCAGGATCTCCACTTTGCTGACCCTCTTGTTGGGCGGGATGGTGGGCACCAGCTTCCTCAAGCGGCTGTAACAGTCATTCATATCGCACTGCAGGCAGAGAGCCGCGGGCTCCTCGCCCGACGGCGGGCYCCCCTTGCAGCCGCTGTGCTCGGCCAGGCACCGCAGGGCCGGGTGCCCCCCGCCGCCGCCCGCCACGCTGGGCTGCGCCTTGCGACTGGGGTGCCGGACGGGGCTCACGGCTTTCATGGTGCCGCAAGGAGGGAGGGAAACCTCCCTCTCCACCACCGCCGCCTGCTGCTGCCGCTGCGACCTCGGGAAGCCGCGCACACACCGCCCGCAACGGGAGCGGAGCGCGGCCGCAGAGCTTCGATGGCGTTAACGGCGACCGCCCCGAGGATGTAACGAGAGGCGCTCGCGGAACCGCGCGACAACAGCGGCACCGCAAACCGCCCCTTTCGAAAAAAAA